CCCCAAAACCCCAAAACCCCAAAACCCCTTTTAAAAGGCCACTAATTGATAAATAAATGTTTTATGTAGCAGATCTAATTGCTGATCCAAGGATTCATCTCTCTCCTTCTTCATCATATTGTTCTTTAGTGACCCAATTAAGACCTTTAAGTTGAGAGAGGACGGAGCCTCCTGTGAAGACAGAGTGCTTTCTTCTAAAAGAGTCGTTGATTCTAATTTTTATTCCATGTTCATAGTCTTTGCCTTCCATTATTATTTCTCTGAAGAGAGACCATAAGTCTTTCTCAACTCTGGTTGGGTATCCTGGGAACATTGTTGAACCTCCTGAAAGGACGATATTGTTGTAAAGATCCTTTCTACAATCGAGGGGACTTTTCATGATTGTTTCTAGTATCATATTAGGGATCCCTTCTCTCTCAACATCAATGAGACTTGGGTCAAAGAGACATTCTGCTGCTTCAAATCTTTCTCTTCCAATAGTAATCTTTTTCTTGTCTGGGAGCCTGTATTCTTTACTTACTACTCAAGTATCTCTAGCCAATTTTCTATCCCTTTGGATGTCGTAGCTGACATAGCATGCTGTCTCTTTGATAGTCCTCAGAATTTCATAATCTGAAGACGAATTAAATGCGTATCCTGAAAATAGCAACAGCTTTCCCAGATATTCTGTGACATGCCTTCCTGCTACATTAAGTCTTTGCACATAATCGTCAAGTACATATCCTTCTGAGACTGGAATAGTATGAGATACACCATCTCCAGAGTCCAGGACAAGTCCTGTGATGAGCCCCTCACAAAATAGACAAAGAAGTGCTTGAATTTCGAAAGTCAGTCCTCCCCATCCAAACTTATTAAACATTATATCTGCCATTTTAATCCGGTTCTTTTTGGGGCTTACAGCAGCTTCGGTGAGTAACACATTCTTATCACCCAGATCTCCAAGATTCATCTTGTTTTGGAAGGCATATTCCCATACCAGCTCCATATCGTCCCAATTTTTGACTGTTCCCTCTATCAAAGGATAAGAAAGCTCAAGCATAGACCTATACTTAGTGGTCTCATCACAAATCATTATATCTTTAAGCTCTCCTCCATCGACCTTCTCTCCTGATCTGATCAAAGGACGGCCGACGACCCCTTGCAGGGTATATAGAGGGAAGTTGTCACCTCCGTGGCCGATCTTGATGTATCCAGACCCGTTGTCACAGACGATATTGTTACTCTTAGTCTCAGAATCCATAATTAATTCAATTATTACAAGCTATTAGGGGTTTTGGGGTTTTGGGGTTTTGGGGTTTTGGGG